ACGGACAGTATACATGTGCGCATCATGATGCCGGCTGAAATTTTTTTCCCGACTAGTTTCGTTTTCACGCAATCTTAATAATGATGATGACAAATATGATATTAACTTCATATCTGTTGTCATCGTTGTTGACCCTTTACTACTTTGTAACATATCATAAGATATACGCGCATACGGCCACAGGTGACAGGTGTAGAGTGTCAGAAATTAGGCAATATATTATTATACGTTTATAAATATCACGGTCGTCATCATTATACTGTGTCACGTGACGTTATTATAATTATTATTATAGCAACAGGCAACCSCGAGTTATAATTCGTTTTTACGAGATACCTGCATATATCTTACTAATAGGTATTATAACCAGAACCAGAGCTCGAATTTTATAGCGTTTGCTATAATTGTGATAGAATACAGATAAAAATTCATACAAATTTGTTTTATGCATCGTGGACACCAATTATAACATTTTTTTTGCATACATGAAGTATTTTAGGTTTTCAGTACTATTTTTCAAGTTTTGGAGTTATTTTTTGTTACTTTGCATAAAATAACGTTTTTATTTTGTGTTTTCATGAATCTAGTTTATATTATGTGGTATAAAAAAAATAAAAAATAGTCTGTCAACTATTTTGATTAGATTTTGTGTGAATCATGTAAATACCCACATTTTTGTTTATATTAAAATCTATTTTAAAGTATCCCAGCAAAAAGTAAACGATTATGAGTTTATATGACTATATGTATATAATATATAGTCATATTATTATTAGTAGAATATTCTGTCGTAAATTCTTAGGATTTTTTTTTTAATCGTTGACAGAACAAATTTATATATTTTTTATTGTTCGCGTCTTTAGGGTATATCATTATAGCGCTTATTTTAGGTCATATTAGTTCATATTTTTAATTATTTTTAGTTCTATAAAATCCGAACCCTACTTATAAGAGCAATTAATAGAGTTATTGAATCAACTTAAAGCTTCCTCCAAAGACTTCTTATAATCTGGTTCAGCTGATGCACCATCACTCATTTTCCTTATTAATTTCAGAGCTTCACTCGCTGTAGATAATTTATTTGCTATATCCAGCCATGTCAGTATATGTCACGGTGGCAATAATCCAATCCTGTTGTGTCAAACAAGCGATTTCATTAGTTTCCTGTTTAAACCTAAGCTAACGTTTATGGTTCTTATAATTCCGACAAATCAATGATATATTTGTGTCAATTATTTGTATTGTATTAATATTAATATTTACTGATCTTTGAGTGTTGCCGCTGTGCCGTACCTATATTTATTGTTTAATGAACAATAAACATTATTTTCACATGACGAATGGTCTAGACTCTTGAAGGTGACATATCGAACATTCTGATTTGTCAGATTCAAATTCTTCGATTCAATATTCCATAACCGTTCATCTTGATCATACTGTTTTTAATATAAATATTATAAACGTATATTTATCATTAGTTAAGGAGCGCGAGACGTCATAATTTCATAACGAGGTATCGACAACACTATATAGTTTTGCCATAACCATATTATTATTATTATTATCATTATAATATTATACATTTATATTTCATTGGAACAAATGATAGGCGAAATTCTCAGGAAACGGATCTAACTCTAGTCCGTTCATTTTTTTTATTAATCATTAAAATAATAATAACATATTATTTGAGAGTTAGATGAAAATAATATGTGTTTATAATAAATATATTACATAATATACAGTACTTTGCTGGTATAATGTTTGAGAGACTTGTTAAAATGTTGGATATATATGCTAAGCCCTCTAAGCCCATATCTATTATTGTGATTTCAAAATATTCAACATGAAATTACTCGCAAAATACTCTCAGGAACGTTACGTGGCCATCATTTATCAAAATAATGTTACGTAATTGTGTGCGTGTAAGTTTTTTGCCGCCCAACTGTTGGTAATCGGTTGTACATACTTTTACGATTTACGCTATTATTCGATTTCAATCACGTAGATATGCGTAAAAATATCAGTTTTTGCGCATACCGGAACATATTTTGAAGACGTTGACCTGCTGACTGATCACGAAAATAACATCACAACAATATTGTATAGCTGTACTTTGTAAATTTATACATAACCTGCCTGCAGTACCTACCTACGAACGAACTCGTCTAATTAGTATAATAATAATATATTCAAACAATTTGGGTGATTAATCATAAATTATTATCGTAATAATATTGTTAATAAACATTTTGAGTGGAGTTCGTATTATTGTAACGTGCGATTAGAACGGCGTGTTGATCGAGCTTGATCATATTTAACATACAGTTATAATTTAWAAATTTAAAAATAMATGTTTTAYCAACTACGAAACGAATTTCGATGGTAAAAGGCMGGTGTCAATGAGATGATGGATATTTTGAGTTCTACATGCACAATATTTAGATTATATTTTATCAAAATATTTCTTCTATCTATTATGTTAGGTATATTACGATATATAATATTATGGTAATAATTTGTTTAGGGATAACATATATAATAATATCGACGGACGGGTCCCGCGGAACCTAAACAATCAGCATGGAAAGTTCAAAAAGGGAATGATTTTCTGAAATACAGTAAGCTATCTCTTTCAGTTTAAATTAGTAAATTTGTATAGGATTTTATGACGATTTGCAGGGAGTTAAAATGCTGTATAAAAATCAATATTGACGTGTGCGATTTATGCGCACGATATATAGTAGATGATTTAATCAGCTGCCTAGCGGATCGTATCAAATATTCAAGTAATAAATAATAATATGAACTACAGTATCGTTAAGAGCTTAAAATATTTTTACCGTCTCCGCTTATTGTTTTGTCTTGTAAAATAATGTTTAGGTATATTATATAATACTATAACAATGATATGAGTAAACGACTCATATTAGTATATTAAACGTATAGAGAGTGTCCGACACGGTAATATAATTATTATTTTATACGATGTAATATATTGTCGGCACGAATATCACGAATGCGGCTCCGTACACGAACGTGCAAAATATTGCAAGAGCGGTCACGGCTTTGAAAATTATAGACAAAATTGTAAACTGTGCGACAAGTCAAGGCGACGATGATCAAAAGGTCTTTATTCGTAGAGACTAAATACTCGAGAGTAAAGACCTACTCGTCCGTACGAGATAGATGCGAAATCGTAATGAACCTAGCCGACGACGACCACGGAAGCGGCGATACAAARCCCTTCTATAGTATTTAATTATAATATTATGTGTTCGAAAACGAAACAAAAAAAAAAACTTGCCGTCCGTGGATCGCGCCACTTTTCCGGACCTTCACCACGGTCGTGGATGCACGCGAAAACGTGAACTTAACCACTTGATTTACCCGATACATTTCCGCGATGTACCTACCCATAAGTAGTTGATTGCATGACAACGCTATGTTATTTTTATACACGTCCGAGACATAAGAGATTTTCAAGGAACAAAATTGAATTGAGTGTTGAAAAAATCACGTACCTATTGTGCAGTTCACCAACAAGACTTAACGATCTMTATGTCCTTTTTCATCTCGATTTTACTTCCGATTCGTTTCCKCAAATAAATGGTCGACAATCATCTCTTTATATCAAATTATTATATTTAATATATTATATTATGAGGTATCGCGGACCATTACCACAGTGTTATGCCACACGTCTCTGCCCAGTGATGGTTAAAAATGGGTGGGGCGAAGATGTGATCGCTCCCCCTCTTGGTTCTAATTTAAAAAGAAAAAACATTTGCTTATTGGTTATGTGTTTTAATTTTTAAATCAATTTTTTTTTTAACAGTATAAAGTACCTATACATTTAGAAAAATAGAACTCTAATACATTTTATTATTACTTATTACTTATTCTGTATTATTTACATATTATATTTACTATTATCTCCTTTGTATAAATTATACCTAATTACTTTATCATGTTAAAATAGCCAAAAACAAATCTGCACATAATATCTATAGATTTAGATAGTCTAGGCTAGGAACATCGTATATAAAAAAAAAAATAGAAATCCATCTTCAACTCAGCGTTTACCTGATAAATTATTGTTATATTGTACGTATTCATTACTATTATTATTATTAYCATATAACTACAATAATATTAGGTGTATGCGTATATATTATAACTATGCGATCACGCTGTATAATAATAAAAATGATAATACCTAATCGTGATTCATAGCCTATAATAAATAAGTCAGTAATGAGACTAAAATTATTTAGTCTTATATATAGGTAGCCTTTTAYAAACGTGTGAATTAGAATGTTGTCGGAAATTATTAAATTAAAGTATGAAATAACATACCCTTTTTGTTTTTATTCGAAAACCAAAGAGAATTATTATAAGAATTATATTTACAGTGGACTTGGAGAGCAATTATAGATATATTGTTTCGAATAAAAAAAAGTTAACTACTCGTTATATAATTATTTTGTGATGTTCGCTCGCCATTGTCCATCGATAGATATCGTCGTACAAGTTTGGCGAGTACACYACAGACTATACAATTGATGATATTATTATAGTTGCGGACCATCGGTAATAATAATTATTATTGTACTATAATAATATCATTTAATAAACAAAACCTGTTGTATAGCAGAGAAGCGCACGCAYTCTACAAAACGACGTGTAGTTTGCTTCAACAATCTCGCGGTTTTGGCGTACTTGTGATCTATGTGATATGATAATATTAACACCACTACAAAAATGACTGTATTACACATTTACACGGAATGTTATAATTCATAATCGGTAACGTATTATTATTATTAAATTTACCAAGTACTTGGAGTAGAGCAATTTCGTATTTTAAAATAATATATAATTAAATATTATGCGTGTATAGTATATTATAGGTAAATGACGTGAGCTGCTCGCGCGGTCTAATAAACGCCAATACGCTTTATTATGTCACCTTTTATCTACATGTCGATTAAGACGAGTTTTCGGTTCTCTTTCCTCTTCAATCGCTATAAATTATTATAATAATAACGTATTACTATCATTACTGTTGTGTCCTTATCTCCGCCGCCGCCACGCCTCGTCGTCCACCGCGGATGCATCGTCCGCACCACATAATATTCGATACGCACCAAAGCTGCTGCTGTTGCTGTTGTCGTCGTCGTCGACACATGACTGCCGGCCGACATTACCAGCGGAACGACAARTGCGCGTCCGTCCGTTCGCCGGCGACAATGACTCAATAATATTGTTATAATATACGATATTATTGATTTAAGTTCCGTTCCGCGATTTTTCTTATCGTTTCTATTTTTAAAATTTTTTTTTTTTATTAATTATTTATTGTTATTATTATTTCATTTCTGACTTTTCACTCTTATACTACTCACCCGTAGTCTTACCTCTATTATAGATAACATTATAATAACAATTAATATTATCGGTGTGATTTTCTACACGTACCTAAACCTCCCGCAGGATCTTGATATCGTCATCAATTCATCATCCTCCGCATGGACGCGGTCCTCGCGGGTGTTGTGTAAATCACAAACTGTGCGTTAGTGTCGGGTTAGCGATGATCTGGTCGGACCGACAAGCAATAAAATGATCGGCAGATGGATCGTCGGGTTCGTCGTGTTCGTGGGCTATCTGTGBCTGGGCGCGTTYGTGTTCTACCGGATCGAGCGCAAGGAAGAGGAGTTTCAGCACTCCTTGGACATTATCGAACGGCTCGAGCTCAAAGGTGAGACTCATGCGAGTGTTAATTATTATYCACCCTCGATCACCTTTTTTGATGTTAACTCGGTCAGGAAATACCTAGCAGGCTATAAAAAAGGTCGTTAATATTTACCCATAAAATAAGCTGGGCATTATTTAATTTGAGAATAATATGAATAACYWWATACCTRAACAATTATGTGTCGGGCAATAATGTTATCGTTGACAAATTTTTGTTAAAATATAATTTGACATCAAGACAAATCAATAGGTTTTCGTTTTGGGATTTTGAAACGGTTTTTCAGTGCTGTTTACATAATATAGCTGTATCGTGGTGTCATCTGTGTTCTGCTGTCTGGATAATAGATATATTTTGATCCTCAAAAATACTTMGAGGTAATGTTTTATTTATAGATCTGAAAACGGGCATTTTTTATGTTTGAGCCAGATACATAATAATATATCGATGATTTTTAYTTGAAAAATATAGGCTTACAATAACCCGTTTATKCGATATGACGTATACGAGTATATCCGGTGTATTGCAGTAATCTGTCTATATAATAAATTTCTGGCGAAGTTGTGTCGTAGATCGTAACATCAACAGGTATACCTGTTACATTATGACTGGCGTGGTTTTTCAAAGCGTCGAGTYAATCGAATTTYCGAGTGATGCTTAAACCGTAATGTGTAGCACAGCGTGTTTTCAATTACTGCATATTATACATCATTTACTTCACCAGTTTTTCAACGATAAGCTGAATATTCCGAAATCAAAATAGGTGCCTGTAAAATTGTTATAAAATATGCTGATTATTATACATTGATGAATTATGATAATATTTATGCAAGTAAGTTTCAGTAGCTTACAAGTAAGAAATTAATAATAATAAGAAATAAACATCATTGAATGTGTTTGTAGTTTGTATTACACAACCGCAGCTGTAGTCTGTACACATAAAGTATACTATAATATTACAAGTTAYWCMYAATTATATTATATTATACTCTGACCGATTATTASCTGCATTGAAATTTCATTTTTATCTCAAGTTATGAAACTTAACATATTATATATGTTAAAAATATCATTAAATGTACAATTTATGTACATTGCAGCTATATTTTACGCATAAATAATTACTTAATATTTAATCAGAATAACAATAATTCTTGTACATGCACATTTTATTTAAAAAAATATAATAATAATTTAAAAAAAAAACACCAGGCATGCAATCAGCACTAATAGATTTTATTGGGAAAAAAGGTGATTTGCATACTCGTAAGTCATAAATACAAATCGCCACGTAGGTATTCATGATAAAACAAATAATTATGATTTGAATAAATATTTCRATTTTCTAAGCTGACCACGTACTTATTAATTATTGTGTAAAGGGACACTATAATAGTGTGGAGTTTTGTTGGTAAAAATCATTAGATATTTTAACTATACCGCAACACCGGTAATTAATCGTCGATAAGAAAACGTTTGAACATTTAAAAATTAATTTTAAGCGAATTGATTAAAYAACAAGTGAACGTAAACCATAGCAAACTGTCGTTTAATATTGRGAATAAAATCAAAAAATCATTTTTCGAAATGCGACTAAATACATTTTTTGAATTAATCTCACCCTTAGGAAACCCTACTCTTCTGAAATACTCAATTAGTTAAATATGTAAGAACTATTATTTTTATTATAATGCCTTATTATAATACAATTATATTAGACCAATATTCTGTCTCCGATCGAAACCAAACGCRTGTGCCCTAAGTATAAAGGTATAGACGACCTGCTGGTTTTTAGCGGGCCTTTCGTATTTAAATTATAATATTGTCATAGTATAAACATTGTATCCGATCAATATTTATCATAAGATACCGATCAGGGAAACCTAACCGCGACTATGACGACACGACAGACTACGGAAAAAGTGAATGAATGAATGGTATAACCTGTTGATTCACGTCACGTGTTCGCATATATAATTGGTAAATTCCCTCAAGATACAGACTAGTTTTCCTGTCGGCAATATGGTTCCTCTCTCTCTCAAAAAAAAAAAAAAACCCAACGTACAATTTGGTATACTATGGTAGAAAATATTAAATACAATTTATATACTTTAAAGTACATTTATGACCAGACAAAAAATTATATCAATTGCTATTATTTATAAATTTATGATATTATACGATTATTTACGTCAGTTTAACTTATCATCGATAAGTACCATAGTCTACACACTAAAAGCGGTTGCAGCACTAAATTGCGGAAACATGAATGCAGTTAAATTTTTAATTCAAGCAATTTTAGGCACCTTTGGGGTACCTGTAATGTCGATATAGAATAATGAGAAGACATTATCGTGCTATATTATAATATAATATTTGTATATAATATCATGGTGTTTTATTGACGTTTGATGTAAATACTTTTTGTAAATTGGTAAATAATRTATAATAGTAGGTACGTACAATTTGTACACACCTAAATTCGTAGCGCGAATATATAATATAAGTCATTAGAAAAATTTACCATGTGTTTTTATTATTATCGTGGCGTATTAATAGTGTGTCTACTCACATTTTTCAATGTTTTTTGAGAAATCCAGTTAATTTGGCGAACGATGGACATAATTATTGTTACATATTTGGCGTGCYAAACTCGTTTGCAAACGACAASTTTTCATGCCTGAGCGATGCAATAATATATTATGTATATATTAAACACWCGTATTTATATTGTACTGGTGACGAGTGGAAATCAAGTTAATTAGGTACGCGCACAAACGCACAACTCAGTGCAGCGTATGTCCCCACGTCTTATATGGTTATAAAATATWAATTATTATTATTGTGTGTGTACGTATTGTATACTGGGTGGTTATCAGCATAGCATTCATTGTTCGATATTTATTTACATATTAAGACAATCGAAGTGTCAACGATGGAACATTTTTGAAAAAAATTATATTCTTCGATTGTTTTTTAAATTAAAAAATTCAAACGATCGCGAGATTTTTAATTTTATATTACAGAGTAGAATATTCTTTAGAGAATTTTGATGTTTAAATTCGAATTTCAAACAATTGTAGGTATCCCTAGAAGTTAATACATTAATATTATAATTCATGTATGAGTATTTAAAGTCTAGATGAGCGGAGTGGAGTGGAACAGAGGTGCCTACACGGCTATGTTGTATCTTCAAAGTGATATTCCGCACTTATGAAATAAAAGTTTTAAATAGCAATAATAKCATAATTAAACAGGTACTCATCATTAACAATTCAACTTTAAAACACACAAATTATCAAATTTATTTAAATATTCACCTTCGGAATATTTAATTAAAAGTATACGTTAATATTTAAATGAGTTTACAATTAAATCGAGAAAACTCGTAAACAATATTTATTTGTAACAAACTAAAATTTATTTTATCAAAAATAATGATTCTCATCAAAATTATGTGTTTTCTTGTTAAAATAATCACCCTGTATAATGACAGTGATAACACAGAAACACAGTGGACTCCAAAAGTTTAATACCTTTCATATTATATTACTAGTTAAACCCGTGCACTTCGTAGTCCGTTTAAAATCCTACCTCTTTTATGGCTCAAACTATCTATCTATCTAGCTATATCTATAAAAATTGATGTCTKTGTTTATCCTTTATGCATTCCAATTCCAATAAGTGAACCGATTGTGACGAAATTCGGTATAATTTTATTTACTGYATTCGTCCAAGCGTGGATATATTGGAGAAATTGATAACTTATGCATAATTTATTTYAGAGCATTCAGATTTAAGAATGAGGCATCAGGTATGTGCTGTGCTGGTGAAAAAGTAAAATTGCCAGAATTACATACCATTCCAATTGCTAGACCGATTGCGATGAAATTGTGTACAGAGATATATTAGACCTGTGGGCAGAAAATAGGCTAAGTGAAAAGGGATACGCCGATGATATATCATTCAATTAAATATTTGAATTGTCAAACTTTACCCGATAAAACGAATAAAATCACATAATGATAAACTGAATTGAATCATCGTAGTAAGATTATTACTTAGTATATTTTAACCGTTATCTATCTATGTGTATAAAAATATTCTGCTAGCATAATCACAGGAAACGAATTTAACACACATTTTTAACGGCTACGAAACGCACGGGTTCAGCTAGTTGATTTAGTTATAGATATAGAAATAGAAAAATATAATAAAATATGGCATAAATATAAAAATAGCTGATCTCATGCACTTCGTTACCTATTATTTATTTCTGTGCCTTGTTGCTAAATGCTAATCTGGCTTTTCACTTTAAATAAATGATTTATTTTGTTTATTTAAATAGTTTATTTTTTGCTGGATGGATGGCTCTACTAACTGTGATTGCATCACCCCCTACGTCTTATTCGTCTAACCCCGTAACTTAAGTTTTTCTTTCTTAAGAACCTTCTCCTGAAAATTACGAAAACAAAAAAAGAAAGAATTATCGAAATCGGTCCAGCCATTCACGGGTGATACGATCRCTAAGGGAAACAGGGATCTATTTTTATATATAGAGATATGATGAGCTGTAATTAAAAAAAAATATGGCTAATGATTAGGTTCGTAAAACTATGTTCAAAAAATCATTATGCACCTAATTTTTATCGAATAAAAAAAAATTCTGTTTGAAAATTAAAAAAAAAAAAAAAACAGGAATACACAATAAGTATACCTATACGCGGTAAGCAAAAAGGAAAAAACGAATAGTGATAATAATAAAACAACAATAATTAATATTATATAGGTATTGAAAATCAGAAATATACACTTATAGGCTATAAGAAAATCCCAAAACTTCAAACTCTTGATTTAAAAAAAACACAAAATCACACAGTTTAGGTTTAGGTTTAAGTTACCTAGTTGAAACTTAACAAAATTAGTAATTTAAGAAYCACACACTATATAAAGGTGTATTGGTAAGTTTGCTAACAGCCAATAATATAGTTTTTAACAATCTATAA